TATATCTAAAATATTAGCATTTTAGCATGTAACCAGTATAAAAATTATTAATGAGCTATCGTATGTTTTGTTTCTCACGTTAAGACTTTGGAGTCCGGTGTATACCTTACGCTCACCCCTGCATTTGGGGCAGCACGTTTGAAATGCCCAGCAGCCCCCCCGTGGCTGTGGCTGCCCCGTTGGACAGAGCAGCGCCAGGCCTTTCCGCACGTGTTAAAACACATCATCAGCCCAAATTCTACTGTGGTCCCAAATATACAGCAAGCCCCCGTTTTCCCAGTGCGAATGTTTTTAAAATTTGTCTTGTTTTGGTTTGTTTGTCAACCTAAATACTGAAATAATTAGGGCCGGAAATGAAATATTAATAGTTACGTTCCTCCTTATCGATTTCGGTGAACATTGGTAGTCAACCCCGCACGTTGTATAAACTAAGCATTTAGAACTTTGGCTGCCTTCCTGTGACCACATTTCAGGAGTTGGTTTTATTCAGACACCCACCTCCGGGAGCAGGCCCAGGAAGGGGGAGTGCTGCTCAGTGTTGAGTGCTCCTTTCCCTGCTACTTAAAGAAACGCCATTCAGTTAATGCGTATTTATTGAGCACCTGCTATGGGCCAGGTGCCGGGAACTAGAGGTGAGTAAGACAGACAAGAATCCCGCCTGCGGGAGACAAGGCCCCTTGCTGCTTTCTACTGGGGGTGAGACAGACGACGGGCAAGGGTTCCGTGCTGGGGGCCTGTCCCTGTAGCGTCTTCCTCCCCTACAGGAACTCTCCACCCCCAGGGAGTGACACGCAAAGACCCTTGGCCTCATGGGAGGTCAGGGCTGGGTGGTCCTTGGGGAGAGGGTGAGTCTGTAACCCAATCCCCACCCTCTGTATGCTCTGTCCCCACAGGGGATAAGGACCGTGCGTGCAGCATCAAAGGTCGCCTGTGGAAGCTGCTGTCCCCAGCCAGGCTGGCCACACGGGCCCACCGGAGCAAATGGCTGGAGAGTTACCTGCAGCACCTGGAGGAAATGGGCGTGTCAGAGGAGATGCAGGCACGGGCCCTGGTGCTGCAGCTCTGGGCCACACAGGTGGGCATGGGCATGCACGCAGGGGTGTGCGGGTGTGGTTGTGCATATGAATGCATGTGTGTGTGTGCTGTCAGGTATGTGCAGACACGTGTGTGGGTGTGCATACCGGGGTGTGGGAGTGTGCATGTGTGTGCACGTGTGCAGGTATGCAAATGATTGTGCGTGTGCATGTATGTAGGTGTGTATTTTCGAGTGTGTGCGCATGCATCCAGCTCTCTCCTTCACCCCGACTTCCCTTACTGTCGAATAGCATCATGAACAGGATCATTCATTCAGTATTCTTTTTCAACTTGGAAAAATGTCAAACTTAAACAAAAGTTTCATAAGTAGTTTGATGAACTCCTATATACGCTTCGCCTTGATTCTCCGATTTTTAACAATTTACTATATTTGATTTCTCTCTTCCCCTACTGGCATTATTTTATTAAAATCATTTGCAAATAAGTTGCAGACACCATGACGCTTTATCCCTAATTACGTGAGTGTGCATCTCCTCGGAGCAAGAACATCTCTTGCATGACCACAGTACAGTAACCAAATTCAGGACGATTAACCCAGATACATGAACATTATCTAATAAACAGCCCATATTCCAGTTTGGCCGCTTGTCCCAATAACGTCCTTTATGGCCTGTCTTGGTCCAGCCTCCAAGCCAGGGTCACATGTTACATTTACTCTTTCTGCCTCTTCGGTTTTCTTTAACCTGGCACAGTTTCTGTGCCTTTCATTGTTTTTCATGACCTTGACAGTTTTTGAACTGTGTAAATGAATTATTTCGAAGAATCATTTGAAAGTTCCTTTGAGAAGCTGGATGTGGCACCATGCCCCTGTAGTCCCAGCTACTCGGGAGGCTGAGGTGGGAGGATCACTTGAGCCCAGAAGCTCCAAGACCAGCCTGAGCAGCATAGCGAGACCCCATCTCCAAAAAAAAAAAAATTCCATTGAGTACCCACCATAGACCATAGTTGTTTACATGTTAGTTGGAGGGGAGGGGAAGCAGGGGGCAGATAGTCAAGGAAACATACACAGGCGATTTTGGACGCTGATGTGCAGGATAGAACAGGGCTGTGGGTAGATCCTGGGGTCTTCCGTAGCCAGCGTGGTCAGGAAGGCCTCTCTGAGGAAATGTCATGATCTGAGCCCTGGATGACAAGAAAGATAGATTCAGGGTCTTGGGGAGATGGGGGGATAGAGTATTCCAAAGAAGGGAAACAACAAGTGCAAAGGCCCTGGGGTCGCATCATGCCGAGTGTTTGGGCAACAGCCAGGACTCGCGTGTGGCTGCAGCAGAGTGCGGGAGAGGGTGAGGGACGAAGGGAAGAGGCAGGAGGGCCTGGTGGGTCCTAGTGAGTGAGGACTTGGGGTTTTCTCCAGGTGAGGTGGGAGCCCTTTCAGAGTTCTGAGCAAAGGAGAGACAGGATCTTGGGGGCAAGGGCAGAAGCAGGGGCAGCAAAGAGGAGATGGAGGTGGCAGAATCAGTTGGTGACCATGGAGGTAACAGGGAGGTGGGTAGATCTTAGGGACTTTGAGAAGACAGAGCCGATGGGTTTGGTAATGGACCAGATGTGGGTGTGAGAGAAAGCGGGCAGCCTTGGATGCCGCAGGTCCCCAGGCCTGGTTCTTGCCCTCGGCCCTGACCCTGACCCGTGCCCCCTTCTCCTGGCCCCACTGGGCAGTGACAGTTGCACAGGCTGACATTTCTGGTTCCTCTTCCATCGACTCGCAACTTATTTTTAGTTCCCTCTCAGGGCCATTAACTGTCCTTGCAGGCCTAGGCTGGCAAGGGCTAGGGGCTGGGTTTAATCAGCAGGTGGTCCCCATTAGTGCCTAATAACATATTTATGGGCAGAGATGACTTGGCGCTCCAAACTGTCCCCAGAACCCCTGTGGAAAGGACCTCTGTCAGCAGAACTGGACGCTGGCCGGGGGGCTTGAGTGACAGAAAGTCCAGGGAACAGCCTTTGGTAGGGCCAGGAGAACTGGGCGGGAGCTGGGGATAGGATGTCCTCTGAGGTTGAGTCGTTGGCAGTGTCCAGAGTTCAGGCAAGTGGGAAACCCTGCTAAAGTCTCAAGGGCAAAGCCAAGAGGCCGTGTAGCCCAGTGGTTGCGGGCACGGGTTCTCTGACTTCCCGGCCTGGATTTGAATCCTGACTTTGCCATTTCCTGGCGAGTCAGTTACTTAACCTCTCAGGACCTCAGTTTACTCACCTGTGAAATGGAGAAGCAGCACCTTCTTCAAGGTGTGGCTGTGAGGATGTAAGGAAGCAATAGGTGTGAAATTCTCTGAGCCTGGCAGGTAGCAAGTGCTCGATACACACACTCAACGAGTATTTACGAGGGCCCTGTGTGTGCTAGCCCATTCTGGAAGCTGTGGTTAGAGCAGCGAGCGGAATAGACAAAAACCTCTGCCCTTAGGGAGCTGGTGCTCTGGCAGGCAAAGACAGACAACTGATAAACAAGTAAGTGTCTGAAATGCATTAGAGGTGACGAGTTCTACGGAGAACAGGCGATGCAGGGAAAGCGGATGGGGGAGGGGTGAGGAGGAGTGGTCAAGCGAGCCCTACTGAGAAGGTGACCCTGGAGCAGAGACTGGAGGAGGTGAGGGAGTGAGCCCTGTGGATACCCAGAACGGGGACTTCCAGGCAGGGCCAGCATGTACCAAGGCCCTGGGGTGTGGTCGAGGTGATGTGGCAGGGAGGAGCAGGGCCAGGCCACTGGGGGCCCTCCAGGCTGTGGGGAGGGCTCTGGCTTTTACTTTGAGTGAGACAGGTGCCCACTGAGGGCTGTGAGCAGAAGAAAAACATGTCCTGTTATGCCTTAATCATTCCAGATCATTCTGGCTGCAGTGGGGGCAGTAGACTGTAGGGGTAGGAAGTGGGGCAGGGAAGAGGCCACTGCAACATCCAGGCGGGAGAGGACAGTGCCCGACCAGGGTGGCAGCAGAGGGCAGGGGAAGGTCTGGATCTTGGGAAAGGGCGCCAAGGATGACTCTGGTTTTGGCCCAACCAGGAAGGATGGAAGAGGTGCCACGAGCACCAGGAAGATGGCGGGAAGAGCAAGTTTGGGGGAGAAGATCGGGGTCTGGCCTTGGGTGCGCCAAATTGGAGATGGAGGTGGGGCACCTGGAGAATAGTCTGGAGACGTACCTTTGAGAGTCGTCAGCGTAGAAACCTGGACTGGAGGAGATCCAGGCGCGAGGGTCAGGGGAGGAGAGGACCATGCCCTGCAGCTCCCCAGTTACGAGGGTGGGAAAGATGAGGAGCAGCCAGCAAAGGAGGCTGAGGAGGAGCCTGAGGTGGGAAGACAGCGGGAGGGAGCACCGCCCCACAGGCCAGTGCAGGAAGTGTCCCGAGAGCCAGGGAGATAGGCTGGGTCAGACACCGCCGCTGCCGAGAGGCTGAGGAATAGTAACTGTGGTTGCTACCGTGAGATCAGAGCTGATGAGTCAGGAATAAAAATTCCAAAAGATACTGAGCACTTATCATGGGCCAAGCATCCTGCTGAGCACTTTGCAAACATCATCTCCCAGGATCCTCACAATCTAGACTGATGGAGGGCACTGGGAGGTGGGGCCCCGTGGGCTGAGTCTAAGGTCCAGGCAGGAGAAGAGGCCGGCTCTAAGGGCTCATGGGACAGGCTTCCCTGCAGCTTGGAGCTGTTGGCCCTGGTGACAACGAGGACTGAGAATCACTACCGTCAAGATGCGCCAGTCACGTTTCATCCTTGTGTGCCTCCAGCCCCGATCATGTGCTCAGCGGCCTTGGCCCAGGGCCCCGGGAACTCCTGGGTGGTCCCAAGGGGTGGGGTTGGGCCGTGGGAGCTGCGGGGGTCTGCAGAGCCTTAGCTGAGGTTGTCATCATCAAGAAGAATCCTGGGGCACAATGACAAGGGGGTGAAAGGCAAAAGCACAGTATTTAGAGTCGGACAGACTTGGGTGGCATCTCAGCTCTGCCACCGCTAGTTGTGCGACCTCGAACCAGTCACTTTTCTGGGCTTCAGTTCCACCATCTGTAAAGAGGATTTTTCTTATTCAATAGTTTGATTCCGAAATAATTCTACGTCCTAGAAGGGCTACACAGGTAGTACAGGGAGTCCCCAGTGCCCTTCGCTCGCTTTCCCTGATGTCACGTGACCCCAGTGCGTTATCAAAGCCAAGCGTCGGCCCTGGTGCCTGACTGCTAACTGAAGCCCACGCTTTATTCGGATGTCCCCAGTGTTCCATGATACCCTCTTCCCTTCCCAGAATGCAGTCCAGGGTATCACATTGCACTTCAGATTTCGGTTTGTTTTAAGTAGATTTTATTTTTAGAGCAGTTTTAGGTTCAAAATCGAAAGGAAGGTCCAGGGATTTCCCTCAAGGCCTCCCTACCCCCTGCATCAGCATCCCCAGCCAGGATGGCACATTCGTTACAATTTATGACCTACATTAACACATCATTTTTATACTTGGGGTATTTTTTATTTTCTTGAAATTTTTTTAATCACAAAATTAAAAGACACCAAATTCGCGACCGCTCCCCCTTCCTTTCTTTTGTGCCGGCTCCATCCCCACAGCGGTTCCCTTCAGGAAATTGAGCGACCCCAGTGGAGGGGTCCCTTCTCTTTCCCGTGCGTTCTAGAGCAAATCCCAAGCCTGATACTCCTTGGCCCAGCCTGGGTCCCGTGTCCCCTCTGAGTGGGTGGCAGCCCACACCTGGAGTCCGGAGCGGATGCTCAGCCCTGGACCGTCCGCACGACTGAGAGGGAAGCTGAGGTCCTTCTCGAAGGAAAGTGGGTGCTGCTGCCTGAGGGCGAGGGTGCCGATGCCAGGCAGGCGGGGGCAGCAGGTGCCTGCACTCCCTCAGAGGGACTGTGTGGGCCAGAGGTGACGAGACGGTGGCCGTGAATCACCAAGCGTGTGGGCCCCTGGAGGTGCACTGCCGCCGCCGAAAAGGTGGAATGGAGGAAGCGCTGCTGGGTCATGGACTTCGGCCGCAGTAGCAGGGACCGAGGCTCGACAGGACATGCCTTCCTGAGTAAACTGAGGCAGGGCCCCACAGGAGAAAGCTCAACCTCCAGGCTGGTGAATTCGGGATCTCACAGTTGTGTGGGCACATGTGCACACGCACTCACACACACACACACATCTGTGCAGTTGGTCTCCGTCACCTCCCTAACTTGCCACAGCTTTTTCCTGCAAGCAGGCGTAACCGAGTGCCCGTGTGTTTGACTCCTGCTCGGTAATTAACGAGCGGTGGCCCCCGCCCAACCATCAGGGCAGGATAAAGTGGCCTTGGCGCTGAGCTAACCCAGCGCTGAATTATTTATCGCCCACATTCCCCAGGCTGGTTAAGTGGTGGACGGCGGGCGGCCTTGCTGTCTCAGCCCGACCTGAGGGCTGGCGGGCCTGAGCCTTGCTCGTTCTCAAACCCAGGGAGGAGCTGGGGAGAGGGGTAACCACTTCTGAGCACCTACTCTGGTCTCAGTGGACCCCTGCAGCCAGCCTGGGAGTGGGCTCTGTTATCCCCGTTCTACTGAGGACGGTCCTGAGACCCAGAGGGGACAGGGACTTGTCCAGAGTTGCAAAAAGAGGGGAGGTGGGATTTGAACCAGCTCTGCCTGGTCTCAGCCCAGGGCTCTTCCAGCCCACCTCCCACTGTCTTGGAGCCCCACCCCTGACCCAGAGGGACACAGATGTTTGTTTGACAAGTATCAGTGCGCCCCCGCTCTGTGCGGGGCAGTGGGTGGCAGCCAGGGAGCACTTGGTTTTCCTTCTCGGTAAAAGGCCGGCTTGCTGGAAACACTGAGCGCGGGAACGCGGCGCCTGCTCGATGCCGAATTCACGGGGCTAAAGCAAAAGCAGACGAATCCTCGCCCTCCTTGATGCTTCCGCGCATTTCTTTAGAGCCTTTCCCTGCGTATTTTTCTTCTGCAGTTAAGACCATGCGGTTCCTTTAATTGAGCCTTCTGTTTGCTTTAGTATTGTGTCACGAGCGTTTCTCATGTCCCTGGAGATCACTGTAGAAATCATTCACATCCCTTCTGTTTCACTTAAGATGAGTGCATCCATTAAAAAAATTCGAGCAGTTTAAAAGGGTCTGTGCAAGGAAAACCAGTCTCCCACTCCCCGTCCTCTGGTCCTCCCGGCTTCTGTTCCAGCAGCGACCTTGTGCCTCTTAGAGACGGTCTGTGCTTCGTATACAGTCCTCTTCAGACAAACACAATGCAGCGCCCCGAGCCCTTGCTGTTTGCGCGCGGCCGTGCTCTTGGCTGTGGTCCCGTATCAGTGCGCACAGAGTCGGCTTCTCTGTAACGACTTCCTGTGCCATTGTCCTGTGGATGGGCCATCATGTGTCTCATTGGTCTCCTAGCGATAGACACCGGGGTTGTTTACAGTGTTTTTTGCTCTTATGTCAGCCCCGCAATAAATATCCTCGTGCGTGTCCTTTTGCCCATGTGCAGTGTGTCTGCAATGAATCATGTTTACCCATGACTGGGCATGATGTGATGTTTAATGGCGATTTAATATTCCATTATGATGATTGAATAGGACATTTATGGGAGACAAAAATCTTCCCCCAAATCGAGGTTAGTTGCTATTCCACCCATGTCTGCATCCCTAAAGTGTGCCCTATATACGTTTCAGCCACATGCTGAACAGCTGAGGCACGAATGTGTATGAGCGTTTTCAGCCAAGGCTGAAGGCTTCGGGCAAGAAATTCTATCCATTTTCCTAACTGTTTATCTGTTGGGAAGTTTTAAATAATTTTTGTTCAGGCTAGGCACTGTGGCTTACACCTATAATCCCAGAACTTTGGGAGGCTGAGGTGGGAGGATGGCTTGAGACCAGGAGTTCGAGACCATCCTGGACAATATAGCAAGACCCTGTCTCTACCAAAAAATTTAAAAATTAGCCGTGGTGGCACATGCCTGTAGTCCCAGCTACTCAGAAGGCTGAGGCAGGAGGATCACTTGAGCCCAGGCGTTCAAGGCTGCAGTGAGCTACGATTGCACCACTGCACTCCAGCGGTGGACAATGGAATGAGACCCCATCTCCAAAATGAAAAATTTGTTCAAGAAATTAATGGCTCTCACAGTCATCAGTGATTATTGCTGTGTACTTTATTGTACACATATACCGTGCACTTTAAACGTATACATGTTGTTATGTTGTTTATGTGTACACAGCACACACATTTATTCTTCAAGTGACGATGGAATTTTAACCTATAAGCATGTAAGGAGATACTGCATCCCAAATTACAATGGGAATGATTATATTTGGAAGCAAATCTTTAGGTACTGTACCAGTCAGCCATTGTTGTGTAACAAACGTCTGCAAAAATTCAGTGGCATACAACAATGAGCATTTATTTAGCTCAGGTCTGTGGATCTGGCTGTCTAAATGGGGCTCGGCAGGGTGGTTCAGCTCTGCTGCATGAGTCTCTCATCCTCCTCGTGGGACCAGGGGCTTTCTGGGCGAGTGGAAACACACAGGGTCTCTTAAGGCCTATGCTTAGAACTCGTGTTCTGTCAATTTCGCCTCATTCTATTGGCCAACGCAAGTCCATGGCTGAGCCCAAATTCAAGGGGCAGGGGAAATGCACACTGCCTCTTTAGTGGGAGGAACTGGGAAGTCACGTGGTGAGGAGCGTGGCTCTAGGGAATGGTGAAGGCTCAGGCCAGTGATGCAAGGCAGGCATCCTCAGATGCTAACGATAGTCTTAATTGACACCCTGTTCTTATTACTGACAATTTTTTGCTGATTAGGTATGATGATTACCTGTGTGACCTCAGATCAGTAACTTCGCTCACGGTCAGAGATGCCAGGAGTGGCCTTGATGTCGGTATCGGGCCAGGCCAAAGCCACAGAGCGGGTTCGGCCGTGTCCTGAGGCTGAAGATAGACACGGGTCATGCTGGGTGTTTGGCAGGGGAGCAAGCCTGGGCCTGCTGGTTTCTACGCCTGGGCCAGGGCTGTGTCCATGGCGTAGCTGTGCCCTCTTGGTGGTGTAACGGGCTCCTTCTCATTGCAGGGGAATATGGGTCCCGCTGCCTTCTGGCTCCTGCTCTTCCTTCTCAAGAATCCGGAGGCCCTGGCCGCCGTCCGTGGAGAGCTCGAGCAGATCCTCTGGCAGGCGGAGCAGCCTGTCTCGCAGATGACCACTCTCCCACAGAAGGTTTTGGACAGCACGCCCGTGCTCGGTGAGATGTCAGCCCTCCAAGATAGCCTCTAAGACCGGGTCATGGGCTCTCCCAAACCCCACCCCCTGAACACGGGCTCCTGTCCTCCAGGGTCTATCAGTGTCCTCTGATCTAGGGTTTCCCTGAACCTCCCATCTTTGTAACCTGGCATCTCCATGCACCAGTCTCAGCTGCCCGAGACTCATGGTCTCAGTGGGAGATTTTTGGTAGCAAGTGACAGAAAACCTAACTTAAATTGGCTAAAGCGGAAAACGGATTTTATTTGGGATAGGTAACTAAAGAGTCCAGAGGGAGTGGTTTCAGGCACAGGTGGATCCAGGTGCTTTAACAATATCATCAGGACTACTCAGTCCCTCTCCATCTCTCAGCTCCATTTCCCACTGTGTTGGCTCTAGTCTCAGGCCGGCAAGATGGCTGCCAGCAGCTGAAGGCCGACTTGCTCTTGGCTCTGTGGGGCTGTGACTCTCTTAAAACATTCCCACCAAAAGTCCCAAGACTATATCTCGTTGGCTCTCTTTGGGTCATGTGCCCATCCTGAACCAATCACAGGGCTCAGAGGGATGCTCTGATTGGCCAGTTACAGCCCAATCCCAGGAGTTGAGTGTAGAATCAACAGCCCGGCCGGGTGCGGTGGCTCACGCCAGTAATCCTAGCACTCTGGGAGGCCGAGGCGGGTGGATCGCTCAAGGTCAGGGGTTCGAGACCAGCCTGAGCAAGAGCGAGACCCCGTCTCTACTAAAAATAGAAAGAAATTAATTGGACAACTAAAAATATATAGAAAAAATTAGCCGGGCATGGTGGCGCATGCCTGTAGTCCCAGCTACTCGGGAGGCTGAGGCAGTAGGATCGCTTGAGCCCAGGAGTCTGAGGTTGCTGTGAGCTAGGCTGAAGCCACGGCACTCTAGCCCGGGCAACAGAGTGAGACTCTATCTCAAAAAAAAAAAAAAAAAAAAAAGAATCAACAGCCCAACCCCTGAGTGTGGGAAGGGGTGGACCCTAGAGGAAAACCAGGGGAATATGTGCTGGGTAGGCTGAAACAGATATTGAAGGCTCCACTCTTTCCCCAGCCTGATGATATTTGCATAGCTCCCACTTTCCCTCACAGCTTCTCTTGGAGTCACACCCAGAGCCCCTCACATTCAAGGATCTCTGAGGGATGGCAGAGATCACATCTCATCATCTGGCCTTTTTCACCTTGCTGTGTGACTGTGGGCAAGACACGTACCCTCTCTGAGCCTCGTCATCTTCCTCTGTAAAATGAGAGCTGGGTGGCATTGGAGTGGGTGAGGGGACAGCCTGCTGACCCTTCCTGCACCCACTCCCTGCAGACAGCGCGCTGAGTGAGAGTCTCAGGCTCACGGCTGCCCCCTTCATCACCCGCGAGGTTGTGGCAGACCTGGCCATGCCCATGGCAGACGGGCGAGAATTCAACTTGCGACGTGGCGACCGCCTCCTCCTCTTCCCTTTCCTGAGTCCCCAGAAAGACCCAGAAATCTACACAGACCCGGAGGTAAATGGCAGGGGTGCCTGGTCATACTGGGGCCTGTGGGGGAAAATCAGTGACTTCAGGGTCTGCCAGATCTCGGCTGCAGCCCGGCTTTGCCTTTAGTTTGCTGTGGGACCTGGCCCAGACTGCTTCTCCTGTCTGTGTCTCATCCTCACTGGGAAACGGACCTTGTTACCGCACCTGCCTCACAGGGTTGTCGGGAAGATTAAACGAGATCATGTAAGAAAAGGCCTTCACAGTGCCTGGTACACACAGAGTGCTTTGTAAGCAATAGCTGAGCAATTTTCCTTTTTTTCTGAATGTTATAAATGTCAGTTTCCCAACACTTTTCCCTCTCCCTGGACTTTGAGGTGGAACAAACTTTCCCAATTGCTAACAGGTCGAGTGCTTATTTGTGTGCCAGGCCCCATGCTACATGCTCATCCATCATTCATCCATCCACTTACCCATCCACCA